ATCCTTGCAGTCACGAAAGCTTCAAATCGAAAAATCGAGCTCAGTTAATTGCATCGTCGCACCGCAAATCGACGGCGTGCTGTAGTGTCTCCATCGTTACAATTCGCCGTGCGCCTGCGACCGTAATGATTTGCTATTATGGACCCGTATCTCATGGGTGGGTGAATTAATCGCATCCTTTCAAATACTCTCCCTTGGTTTAATTCTGTTATGGAATGTTGGCCGATGGTTGGTTGAGGATAGTGATGGAATGACAGCCAAGGAATGGAATGCGGCCAATAGGATGCCCATCGAGACGACGGGATGATATCAGCTGATGAGTATCACCTGCAGGTACTGGGTGGATTAATACTTTTCGGGATCTCGGGAGATAGTGAGAGCTTTTTGAGAACCTCATCCAGCAGTGGATTGACCATGGATTCTGATGGTGATGGCACTGGACCACTCAGCAACTGTCGGTACAAAGGCACAATCAATGTTGAAGGCCTCTTTTTATCTGTGTTTCACAAAGCCAAGATAATATAACACATCTGTTCCATTTTTCGATTTAAAGCTTTCGTGACTGCAGGGATTCATATTCTTGGTTCTTTCGGTAAAGTCACCACCACTTAGAAGAGAAACAATAAAATAATAAAAATATAAAACAATACAATTCTCACGTTTCGACTGCAACACAAGAAGCAATCATCATCAGGTGTGAAAACCACAGCAATATTTTTTTTCAAATTTTCTTGTGTGAAAACCACAGCAATAATTTTTTTGAAATTTTCTTGCTGTGGTTTTCACACCTGATGATTGCTTCTTGTGTTGCAGTCGAAACGTCGTGAGAATTTTATTGTTTTATATTTTTATTATTTTATTGTTTCCCTTCTACGAGGTGACTTTACCGAAAAAACCAAGAATACTCATCTGTTCCAGTTATCGACGTCACTGATGATTTGAGATTAGAATGTATATGCTCTGAACCCTCAGCCCTGTTCACAAAAATGTAATGCTGCTTTGGTTAATTCATGAGAACCAGACAGGAGTTAATTAAGGGTAGACACTCGGATAGTAATACAAGAATGGTTATGACAAGAATGTTTATTAACTCAATTATAATTGCCCAAACGTCGTAGCATTGAAATGGTTGTGGTGGCTTTTGAATAGTGAAAAACTCCTTTTAAAAAAGTTTTATTTTAAAGTGCACTAAAAAGTAAAGAACTCGATTGGACAACGGGAAGTGGACGACATCTTGAGTACAAGATTTGACCACGACATCAAACAGAGGAATGAAGTTGAATAACTTTTTTGTCACAACTTCGTTCAACTCACCGTCGAGAAGTACGTCAATGATGCGGCGCCTGCTCACACATCAACGCTTACTTGAATTAATTGGTTATTTTATGAATCAATCTTCAATATACAACTTTTGTTTGTGTGGAGTGAGGGTGCCCGTAACTCGTTCACATGGAGCAGGCGAGGCGATTCCACAGTTTAGGGACCGCGGCGTTTTTGACCTACACACAAATATATATGCATAATAAGGCGTCCATACAAATGTTAATCACTTAAAGGGAGCCAATTAATTGATGCCGATTTTGATACAGGCATGCATTGTCACCGGATCTGAGTACGTGTGCAAAATATGGAATTGATTGGACGACGGGAAGTGGATGAAATCTTTATCACAACATTTGACCACGACAGAGGAATCAAGTTAAGTAAAACCATTTTGAACGCGAATGAGAAATCTCCCCCCACCCTCCCCCGATGACGCGCGAGCGTTGCTAGGGGCAACCCCCGGGCAGCTTTAGCGGCGCAAGGAAATACTTAAATAATGCGAAATAGCACTAAATTGTTAATTTAACAACTTTTAAAGTTTACGGATGGGAAAACAGAATGGCGCTGGCTCACCACGGGGCTTACGGTGTGGTACCCGGCTACTTTTTTAAAAGTAAACTCCACGATTCGCGAGCAAGTGTGCGTCCACACAGAGACAGACAGACGGACACACAGAAAAAAATGCCTTTTATAGGTAAGAAAAGAAAAACGATGACGAGACTCAATATGTGAAGAACACGGGATTTATTCGGTTCACAAGTCAACGGATATAACTTCAAAACACTTTTATCGGTCATCTTTTTCTCGAGACAGCGTTCCCGTGGGATTATTTCCAAGTCGATAGACGACACCTTTTTTTTACTCATCCTGGCAGACACACACACAGACACACGCCTCTGTCTATGTGTCTGTCTGTGTGTGTACTGTGTCTGTGAGTATGTCTGTGTGTTTCTATATGTGTGTGTCTGTGTGTGTCTATGTGTCTGTGTGTGTGCCTATGTGTCTCTGTGTGTGTCTGTGTCTCTGTGTGTCTATGTGTCTTGTGTGTGTCTGTGTCTATGTATCTCTGCGTGTGTCTGTCTTGGTGTGTTTGTCTATGTGTCTGTGTCTATGTGTCTCTGTGTGTCTATGTGTCTGTGAGTATGTCTGTGTGTCTGTTTGTGTATTTCTATGTGTGTGTCTGTGTGTCTATGTGCTCTGCATGTGCCTATGTGTCTTTGTGTGTCTGTGTCTCTGCCTGTGTCTATGTGTCTTGTGTGTGTCTGTGTCTATGTATCTCTGCGTGTGTCTGTCTTTGCGTGTGTTTGTCTGTGTCTCTGTGTGTCTATGTGTCTCTGTGTGTGTCTATGTGTCTGCGTGTGTCTATGTGTCTGTGTGTCTATGTGTATGTGTCTACAGTGACACGCGGTGGTGGTAGTGATGGCGGTAGTGGTGGCGGCCGTGTGGTGCGTGTCGAACTTCTTTCACGCCGTACGTATCGTAAACATCGCCACAGGGGAGATTAAGGTGGCTGCGGGTGCTGGCGATGATTACTGGGCGCCCCCCTGCCCGCCTACGCCGCTAAACGTCGCTCGCCAGTCTGTTCCAAGCTATGGGGTAGGGGGAGCGAGATAGAGAGGGGGGGGGGGGGTGGTGGTGGACCTTTGTCTTGCGGCGTGTAAATATTGTTGCGTGCGTGCGGGGTTTGTCCATGTGGTGGCGGTAATGGTGAGTCGAGCAAAAGTGGTGAAAGTTTGTGGGGTCGCTCCGAGCTCACCCTGTCACCCATCGCTCTCGAGCTCCCTCCTAGGGGAAGATGATGAGGTTGACGAGGTTGATGATCCTCATCGTTTGTGAATGCAGAAATAAACATCAGAATCTGGTGGTTTCATTCTGACCTCCGATCCTGGTCAGCAATTGAACGTCGGGAAACCCTCGCGCCGAGGGGCCCCACTAGTGGGCGTGGCCGTGCCCCACCAGTGGGCGTGGCAGTGCCCCCACCAGTGGGCGTGGCCGTGCCCCCATCACGTGGCGTGTGTAGTGACGGCAGCTACGCTCGGAGTGGCTGGATAATAAAGCTTGAAACGCACAGCAAACCACGTGGCCTCGGTGACACGCGATGCGAGGAGGACAGGCAGCCTATACAAAGACAAAGGCACCCCCAGTAGCCTCAGCACACTTTTGTGGCAAGTTCTGTTGGGAGTAGCAATTAAGGGCAGCACTGTAGGGCACTCCGGGGTGGGGAGATAGGGGGGTGGACAGCACCACAGGCCATCAGCCAGCTGCAGAAACATTCCCCTCCTCCACTCATCTCACTCACCCAGTCACCCCTCCACTCACCCCTCCACTCACCCCACCACTCATCTCACTCACCCCTCCATTCATCTCACTCACCCAGTCACCCCATTCACCCCCCCACTCACCCCTCCACTCACCCCTCCACTCACCGCTCCACTCATCTCACTCACCCCTCCACTCACCCCTCCACTCATCTCACTCACCCCTCCACTCACTCCTCCACTCATCTCACTCACCCATCCACTCACCCCTCCACTCACCCCTCCACTCACCCCTCCGCTCACCCCTCCACTCATCTCACTCACCCAGTTACCCACTCACCCCTCCACTCACCCCTCCGCTCACCCCTCCGCTCACCCCTCCACTCATCTCACTCACCCCTCCACTCACCACTCCGCTCACCCCTCCGCTCACCCATCCACTCACCCCACTCACCCCTCCACTCATCTCACTCACCCAGTCACCCACTCACCCCTCCACTCACCCCTCCGCTCACCCTCCGCTCACCCCTCCGCTCACCCCTCCTCACCCTACTCATCTCACTCACCCCTCCACTCACCCCTCCGCTCACCCCTCCGCTCACCCCTCCACTCATCTCACTCACCCCTCCACTCATCCCTCCACTGATCTCACTCACCCCTCCACTCACCCCTCCACTCACCCCTCCGCTCACCCCTCCACTCATCTCACTCACCCCTCCACTCACCCCACTCACCCCTCCGCTCATCTCACTCACCCCTCCACTCACCCCACTCACCCCTCCACTCATCTCACTCACCCAGTCACCCACTCACCCCTCCACTTATCCCACTCACCCCTCCACTCACCCCACTCACCCCTCCACTCATCTCACTCACCCACTCACCCCTCCACTCACCCCACCACTCACCCCTCCACTCATCTCACTCACTCACCCCTCCACTCACCCCACTCACCCCTCCATTCATCTCACTCACCCAGTCACCCACTCACCCCTCCACTCACCCCACTCACCCCTCCACTCATCTCACTCACCCACTCACCCCTCCGCTCACCCCTCTGCTCACCCCTCCACTCATCTCACTCACCCCTCCGCTCACCCCTCCGCTCACCCCTCCACTCACCCCTCCGCTCACCCCACCACTCATCTCACTCCGCTCACCGCCCAGCCCCCCAGTAGCCCGAGCTGCTGCTGCTGCTGGGGGGCGTTGTCCCCCAGCGCCGCGTTGGCCCTCAGCAGGAACCTCGTGCGGTGACGCCGCCTCTCCCCCCCCCCTCCCTCCCCTGCCAGCAGCGCCCTCCTGCACCACCACCTCGTCCGCCTCCTCCTCCTCCGCGTAGGCCGCTGCCAGCAGCAGCTCCGCAATGCCTCCCACCGTGTCGCCGGCCCCCCGGGCCCTCCCCGGGGGGGTCGCCCCCCCCCCCCACCGCCCCCCCCGCCGCGTGGATCCGCGCCGAGCGGCGCACCGGCGTCACGAGCCGCGGCCGCGAGGGGGGGGCTGCCGGCGCTGCGGTGGAAGGGGGGGCCGTGATGTTAGGGGGGGCAGCCAGGGTGGTGGTGGTGGTGCAGGAGATGTTGGCGGCTGGGGTGGTGGTGGTGCAGGAGATGTGGGCGGCTGGGGTGGTGGTGGTGCAGGAGGTGTGGGCGGCTGGGGTGGTGGTGGTGGTGGTGCAGGAGATGTGGGCGGCTGGGGTGGTGGTGCAGGAGGTGTGGGCGGCTGGGGTGGTGGTGGTGCAGGAGATGTGGGCGGCTGGGGTGGTGGTGGTGCAGGAGGTGTGGGCAGCTGGGGTGGTGGTGGTGCAGGAGATGTGGGCGGCTGGGGTGGTGGTGCAGGAGATGTGGGCGGCTGGGGTGGTGGTGGTGGTGCAGGTGTGGGCAGCTGGGGTGGTGGTGCAGGAGGTGTGGGCGGCTGGGGTGGTGGTGGTGGTGCAAGAGGTGTGGGCGGCTGGGGGGGTGGTGGTGGTGCAGGAGGTGTGGGCGGCTGCAGTCACGAAAGCTTTAAATAAAAAATGTTCGACTTTAAATTAAAAAAAAAATTCGACTAAATTAAATTAAAAACTTAAAACATTTTTCGACTTAAATAAATTAAAACAAATTTAAAAAAAATTTCGCCCTCAAAAGCACTCGAACCTTGGGCAGCTGAGGCGCGCGAGTTCTCTTTGTCCATCGTAGACATCGCCGGAGAAGTTGTTGTTGTTGTTGTGCTGTTGTTTAGTCGTCGTTGTATAGCTGTTGTATAGTCGTTGTTTATTTGTAGTTTAATGTTTAAAGTTGTAAAGTTAAATGGTTAAAGTCGCAGCCTAAGTGGAGGCCTTCGAGGCGGCCATCGACAAATTCTGAAATTTCGCGACCCTTGCCCCCTGAACTTGCCTCCGATTGGCTGCGGGAGAGGACACACACACGAGTGTACACCATCACACCATCACACACACAGTGCATACCACCACACTATCACACATACAGAGTGCACACCACCACACTATCACACACACAGAGTGTACATCACCACACCATCACACACACACACCTCACGCTTTCTCTCTGTTTAAACGTGAAAACTCTTAAACTCTTAAAACACCAACCCTTAAACACTAACCCTTAAAAGCCAACTCTTAAACACCAACCCTTAAACGCCAACCCTTAAACACCAACCCTTAAACACCAACCCTTAAACACCAACCTTTAAACACTACCCTTAAACACCAACCCTTAAACACCAACCCTTAAACACCAACCCTTAAACACCAAGCCTTAAACACAAACCCTTAAACATCAACCCTTAAACGCAAACCCGTAAAAGCCAACCCATAAACGCCAACCCTTAAACACCAAACCTTAAGAAGCAACCTTTAAACACCAACCCTTAAACGCCAACCTTTAAACACCAACCCTTAAACGCCAACCTTTAAACACCAACCCTTAAACGCCAACCTTTAAACGCCAACCCTTAAAGGCAAACCCTTAAACACAAACCCTTAAACACCAAACTTGCACGCCACAACCTGGACGGTAGAGGGCATTCTTTACCTCACGCTTTCTCTCAAAAGTGGCGACCTCACACTCCTAGCGGGTCGTCCTCCTCCTCGTCGTCCTCGTCGTTAATTGAGCAACAAAAATAAATTTTCCGGCGTCTGCACCCCCCTCACGAATTAAAAAAAATGGCGGTGGGTGAGGGGGAGGAGCCAAAACAAATTGGCGGGAAAACAAAAAAACTTCGCGTCACGTGGGAAGGGAGACGCCAAATCCGATTGGCTCCGAGGCGGGAGCGACTTTGAGGCAATTTTTTTTTACAGTACGAAATTACAAAACTCAACATCGACAATAAAACTCGCGTTGGCATTCGCGCCGGTGTAAATAAATGTAAAAAAAATAAAAGTTGTATTGTTGACGTACCATATTTAAATCAAATGTTTTTACTCGAACGCGATTCCGTTGTTTCGATTCCTTCTCGTGCTGAATCGTGTCGAGCTATGATTACGAAACGCGATTCGTGGTCCGAGTTTGCTAAGCCAATGGGAGCGCAACGCTGCTAAAGGCAGCGTCCAATAGGAGAAGGCGATGGTGGGAGGTGGCCGAGTGCCGCTTGGACCAATCAGTGAGCAGGGTGTTCAATGTTTCCCGCTCTTTCGGGGTTTTTTTTGTTAATCACAAAAACAATATTTAAACCCCGGGGTAAAAGTTATGGAGAGCATTGTTTTAATAAGTGTGTAGTCGGAAAAGTTTGCACGTAAATTATATTGAAACAGAGGAGCAATAACAATAATATAACTCCACCAATATCTTCTACAATGGATTCCAATGTTATCCCAAAGGTAATCGATTCCAACAGCTATAATCACTACCACCAACTCGACTCCCACTTTATCCCCATTGAAAATCGATTCCATGAGCACCATTCACCAACAATCGATTCCCATGTTATCACAACGGGAATCGACTACATACCATCAAAATTCTCCAACAATCGATTCCCATGTTATCCGCAAAGGAATCGACGCGAGTATTTTAATCGAACCGAGAATCGATTTTCCCTCCACGTGAGGTTCATGGAGATGGGGCAGTTCTACGGACCTGGTCGACTCCTCCACCTCCTCCTGCCTCTCCTCCTCCTCCACATCGTCACTTGCAGCCACGGTGAGCCGAGCGGGACAGAGGTCGATACATCTGGTACCAAGCTGTGGTGTACGTGGGGAGCGGTGGTGCAGTGGTTAGCGCACTGTGTGTGTGTGTGGGGAGTGGTGGTGCAGTGGTTAGCGCACTGTGTGATTGTGGGGAGCGGTGGTGCAGTGGTTAGCGCACTGTGTGTTTGTGGGCAGTGGTGGTGCAGTGGTTAGCGCACTGTGTGTGGGGATTGGTGGTGCAGTGGTTATCACATTGTGTGTGTGTGTGTGGGGAGTGGTGGTGCAGTGGTTAGCGCACTGTGTGTGGGGGGAGTGGTGGTGCAGTGGTTAGCGCACTGTGTGTGTGGGGGGAGTGGTGGTGCAGTGGTTAGCGCACTGTGTGTGGGGGGAGTGGTGGTGCAGTGGTTAGCGCACTGTGTGTGTGTGGGGAGTGGTGGTGCAGTGGTTAGCGCACTGTGTGAGTGGGGAGTGGTGGTGCAGTGGTTTGCTCAATGTGTTGTTCACTCATCTCCCCAGCTCCGCCTTCCCCATTGAATGTACGTTTGGAATCTCGAGACCTCCTTGCAGACCTCTGCTGGGACCCCGGTGAAGTTGACCCCAAAGGGGATAGACCCCCAATTGTTGAGCCTTCAACCATCGACTCCACCACCACCACCACGGCCAACTCAACTTTTCTGGACGTTACCTACACAGTTCAGAGCAAACTGTGAGATGCTCCCTCACTCACCCACCCGCTTGATCACTTACCAACTCACTCACCCACTCACCAACCCACTCACTCAACCACCCACTCACTCAACTACCCACTCACTTATCCACTCACTAACTCACTCACCCACTCACCTATTCACCCACTCACTCACCCACCCAATCACTCGCCCACCCACTCACCCACCTACTCACCCACCCACAAACCCACTCAACCTCCCATCCATTCACGGCTGAATTCACTCACCCACTCATTCACTCACCCACCCATCCGTCACTCACTCAACTCACTCACCCTTAAACCCACTCACCTAATCACTCACCAACCCACTCACCCATTAATTCACTCACCAACCCACTCACTCACTCAACAACAACCGCGATTTGCCACTAATTGGCTGTGACATCATCATGGCACTTGTGCCAGACTATATGCACGTTGAGGCCACGTCAAGTGTTGAACGCCCGCTGGCAGGAGCATGCTGGAGTAGCCCACCGATGGGACTTTGTCCAGATCTTTCAGGAATTTGTGAGCTCCTCACACAATCCTGCCTGGTTAAACCCAGGATGGATTAAATTTCGATTTAAAGCTTTCGTGACTGCAAGGATTAATCTTCTTTGGTTCTTTCGGTAAAGTCACGTAGAATGAGAATAAAATAATACATTGATAAAATAAAATAACACAATAATCTCACGACGTTTCGGCCACAACACAAGCAGCCTTCATCAGGTGAAGGGACGAGACTGTCTGGAGGACAGCGCTGTGTTATTTTATTTTATCAATTTATTATTTTATTCTCATTCTACGTGACTTTACCGAAAGAACCAGGATAGATTGTAGGCAGGCCCGCCTAAATGTTTCGAACTGGCAAAGATGTTCCATTAGGGGGCTCCACGTTTTTCAAGCGTAGAGAAGGAAGGGAATGATTGTGGCCAAGAAGACTTGAAGCTTCGTGCAGAGCGACAGACCAGGTAGCTTCCACACAACGTTACCGATGAAAAGATATTGCCACGCGACTGATTCGGAGTGAGACCTCTACTGTCAAACCTTAGCCGGTCATGAGCACACTGCTCAGGTATGGGAAACTCTCCACTCTCTCCACAAATGCCCCATCACCAATTGGGAGTTGTGGGGGTGGAGTGTCTGATGGTACAAAATACCCAGGCAGGTGCTTAGTTTTGGTGGGTCTGATGGTAAGGCCCCACCTCTTGGTGGCAAGCTCCAGGTTCAGCAGCAGCACCTCCAACTCCTCCTCTGAGTGAGCAGCACTTACCAGACCATCAGCATATGTAACATGGTTGACCAATATGGAGCCATCCCTTGACTGCACCTGGGCATCAATCATCCTCCCATTGTATCTGTACCAGACGTAAATTCCACCGATACAGCCATCAAAGGCTTCACAAACTACTTGGTCGAAATAGGTGTTAAATAATGTGGGACCCAAGGTGAACAGGTAATGGCTCCAACTCCCAGTCACGTAGTTTTATCCGGGCCCGCTCACCATCATGAAGGTCCTTAATTATTGTAAGCAGAGGGTCAGGGACTCCGAAAGCATGAAGAGCAACCCAGAGCCCAGGCCTACTGATGGTATCATAGGCCTTGACCAGGTTAATAAAGCAGAGATGTAGGTCTTGTTGGAATTCCCTACACCTCTGCTGTAGCAGATGGACGGAAAATATGGCATCTGTGCAGGACCGCCCTTTCCTGAAACTTGCATTGTGGCTCCGCAAAGCCTCTCCTCAGCATGCCTGGCAGGGCGATGTTGAATAATCCTTGCCAGGACGTTTCCCGGCACACTGAGGAGTGAGATGCCCCTGTTGTTGTTACAATCTGTGCGGTCTCCCTTCTTAAAGAGGGGGGACCACCAGGGCATCCTTCCAATCCTGCGGAACCCGTCCAGTGGTCCAGACTATTGTTATGATGTCATGTGCACAAACGCCACCCTCCCTCAACATTTTGCTCGGGGCCTTTCCTGGTCTCAGACTCTGGATTGCCTTCAGTACTCAACAGATGGCACCTCACCCAGCCACTTACAGGGGGTGACTTCCAACATTTGAGGCACCGCAGCCTCAGCAGGGTCATCCCCACTTTGTCCCACAATGTTTTCCAGGCTGAGGGATTTTCCCTCCCGCAGGACCTCACAGAAATGCTCAGCAAATCTGCAAACCTGTTCCTGGGGGTCGGAAATTGAATCACCGTTCTTTCCGCTAAATATGGAAATAGGTGTGGCGCTGCAAGTTACTTTTTTGACGGAGTTATTTGTGATCGCGGGCCATTGAGGCAGATTCCATCTGCTCAGCAACCCGCGACCACCACCAATCCTTGGAACACCTCACGGCTCTCCGAACCTCCGAGCGAAGGCTGCAGTAAGCCTCCTCATTCTCTGACGTGGGATGCTGTAGACGATTAGAGTGGGCCTGTCACTTTTCTCAGCCAGCCTGAACACCTCTTCTGTCAGTGAGGGTCTCTGGCGAGGTCTGGACCGTATTCCCAAGCAGCCATTAAAGCTGCATGAGTCACAGTCCAAAACCTCGCCCATTTCCCCTCGACATCAGGAGTGGGGGACAATGCCAACCCCAGCTGCAAGCGATGATGAAATTCTCACTTGCAACTTTCATCAGCTAACTGAGACCAGGCCACTGGGTTTGAATGGGGTCCTGGGTATACACCCACCATTGGAGTAGAAGAATGGCAGGCGCATCTTCCAGATGGCAAGTCGATGGTCAGTGAGCAAATCAGCTCCATGGTAGGTCCTTGTGTCAAGGACATGGGCCAGCATCTGCTGTTCCATCACTATGTAGTCCAGCAGATGTTCTTTGCTTGGACCTGGCATGCATCCATGATGTTGCGTGGATGCGCCGATGCCAGAACAGCGTGTTGGTAATTACAAGCCTATGGGCTGCACAAAAATCGTGCAGCCTTCTACCGTTGTTATTGAGCTGATCTGGCCCATGCCTTCCAATCACTCCAGACCAGGTGCCAGCATCATGACCAACTTGGGCATTAAAGTTGACCGACAATGTGAATATCCCGAGGGGCCACTTTAGCTAGCACTTGTGACAGGAGGTCATAGAAGGCATCTGACTCATCGGCCTTGCCTGCGTCCCTCCACGGATGTTCGTCTTCGGTGGGGGCATAAGTAATGACGACCACCGCTCCTCACCTCTGGTTGATGGGAAAGCGAGCCCAAAGTAGCCTGGGGCTTACAGCTTCCCACACCTCACCGCCACACTCCCACGACCCCTTCATTATTTTGTTCATAAGAAGAGCCACTCCCTGTTGTTTGGCAGGCTCCTGCCCCGAGTAGAGGACTGTCCACCCCTCATGGTGGCAGGAGCCAGAGCCGGTCCACCGGACCTCCTGAATACCGCAGAGATCCAGGCGGTACCGGTCCAGCTCCCGACAGAGGAGTGGCAGCCTCTCCTTCGCAGTGAGCGTTCGAACATTCCACGTGGCCATCCACAGTGGTTTTTTGCTGTTTCCAAATGGGGTTTTGTAAGGAGACGTCATCGACGCCTGTCCCGCCGGGGCACTAAACAACGCGCATAATTTGATATTTTTCGTGTTGTTTAGTGGTAATTAATTGAAGGTGGAGCGGTTAACAGCCCCTTGCACACGTTCAGAGCTCCCTTTGACCATTGTGGTGGCTACAAACGCCCACTCACTCACCAACCCACTCACCCACCCACTCACTCAGCCACGCACTCAACAACCCACTCACCAACCCACTCGCCCATTAATTCACTCAGCCACTCACTCGACAACCCACTCACCCACTCACTCACCAACCCACTCAATCAGCCACTAACTCGACAACCCACTCACCCACTCACTCACCAATCCACTCGCCCATTAGTTTACTCACTCACATACACACGTCTCTCTCAGTCACCTGCTCACTCGCTCCTCACCACTCCTCACCATTTCCTTTCCATGTTTCTGTCTGCGCAGTTTTGGACAAGTCCACTGGCAGATCGTCTGCTCTGCCACAACAGAGACGCGGTGCAATGTCTCCTCAGCGCTGGAAGATCCCACCGACCGCTACCACCTCCGCGTCAGATCCACCGCCTCATCATCACCACTGTCCTCACCCTGGGTCGTGGTTGAGGTCGTGCACTTGAAGACAAGTGAGTGGCGTGAGATCGGCCATGTGCCGCTGTCTCTGTCTCTGTGTGTGTCTGTGTGCCGAATGGCGGTTGTTGATGTTGTGTGCTCGCCAACAGCACTTACCCCAACTGTCTGTGCAAGCTATATGAGAGATCTTGTTTTTATGTGTCTGTGTGTGTTTCTGTCTCTCTATGTGTGTCTCTTTGTGTAACTGTTTGTGTCTCTGTGTGTGTGAGTGTCTGTGTTTAGGTCTCTGTGTGTGTGAGTGTCTGTGTTTGTGTCTGTCCATGTGTCTGTGTGTCTCTGTGTGTGTGAGTGTGTTTGTGTCTGTCCATGTGTCTGTGTGCCTCTGTTTGTGTGAGTGTCTGTGTGTCTGTGTCTGTGTTTGTGTCTCTGTGTGTGTGAGTGTCTGTGTTTGTGTCTGTCCATGTGTCTGTGTGTCTCTGTGTGTGTGAGTGTCTGTGTGTGTGTGTGTGTGTGAGTGTTTGTGTCTGTTTGTGTCTCTGTGTGTGTGAGTGTCTGTGTTTGTGTCTCTGTGTATGTGAGTGTCTGTGTTTATGTCTCTGTGTGTGTGAGTGTCTGTGTTTGTGTCTCTGTGTGTGTGAGTGTCTGTGTTTGTGTCTCTATGTGTGTTACTGTCTGTGTTTGTGTCTCTGTGTGTGTGAGTGTCTGTGTTTGTGTCTGTCCATGTGTCTGTGTGTCTCTGTGTTTCTCTGTCTGTGTCTGTTTGTGCCTCTTTCTGTCTGTGTCTGTCTGTAACTTTCCCACTCACTCTCACTCACTCTGTAGAACAGGGGGAGATCACACAAACTCCAAACATACAACAGCAGGCATCGTCAGGGTCTGGATTCGAACCAACGGCCTCCGGCTCACTAGGCGAGGGAGATAACACCTCACCCCCCCCCCCACGCGTGACTCCCCCCCCCCCGGTGTCTCAGCTGTCCTCAGTGCTCCGATATTCACCCTGAAGCTCACCAAGAAAAGGACGGTGGAGGAGGGTGATGGCGACGGCTGTGACGACGGCGGTGACGACGGCGATTGTGTGGTGGCTGGGAAGGTAGACGCGGTGGTTGACGCAGAGCCGGAGGTCTGGGAGCTGTCAATGTCAGCCTACGTTGAGCGTTTGTTGCTGAGAAGGATGGTGGGGCACCGACTGGATTTCTTTTTTCAAGCGGAGTACTCGGCAAAAGGGGGCGCTCCGAATGCGGTGAGCGGTTGCGGGGGTTGTGACGGGGGTTGGAAGGTTGTGGGGGGGACGTGAGTGGTGATTGAGAAGCCTTGGGTATCGGAGGGAGTAGCCAAACCTTGTGAGTGGGTAAGTTAGTGAAAGAGTTAATGAGTGGATGAGTGAGTGATGCTACTCTACTACTGATGATACCTCTGTAGTGTACCACTTCTGAGACACTAATCGTAGGAGGCAACACGTCTATTCTACACATTTAACAATTGTTCACACACGGGATAACTACAGACTGGTCAGAGCAGCCGGCACGCTGCCTGACGATGAAGACGTAGCACATTGGGTTCCACTCCACCGACAGACAGCCTTTATCCAGCCTCAGGACTTCCCTTTTATGCCCCCCCGGTGTGGCCTGGCTCCGCCCTTGGCCACGCCCCCTTCTGGAAACCCACCAGAAGGCTCTGGGCCATACCTCACGTGTCCCCTCGGGCACCCTTGCCACACATCCCTTACCCCGGCCTATCACGTGCTCCACCAGCCGGCCGGTTTGCCATGTCCTCATATGCCCCCTACTGCCAGCAGTGCGCATCATGCACCCGAGTAACCCACTCCGTGGCATTGCATTCTCTGCTGCCAGAACGGCCGCTGCACCCTGCTCTGCTGGCAGGTATGGCTGTGACGCCCACATCTCCTCTCTCTGTCGGTAACCAGCACCACGTGCCGTAGTGACCCATTCTGTGTCACTTCACTACGACTGTAGTGAGTCCAACTGAGTCGCAGACGTTATTCTTTAGAGGCAACACATTTGTTGTAACACGTGACATACAAAGGGGTAACTGCCCCTTTACCAGATATAGCCTAGGGGTGGTGACCACCCAGCTAACTAATCTATACGTCGGAGTTACAGCTACGAAGGGTCGGACCCTCACTCGGGTCCCCGGCCACATGTTGATGCCTTGTAGGACGTAGAGCTTCCAGCTTGTAGACGTGGAGCTTCCAGCTTGTAGACGTAGAGCTTACAGCTTGTAGACGTAGAGCTTCCAGCTTGTAGACGTGGAGCTTCCAGCTTGTAGACGTGGAGCTTCCAGCTTGTAGACGTGGAGCTTCCAGCTTGTAGACGTGGAGCTTCCAGCTTGTAGACGTGGAGCTTCCAGCTTGTAGACGTGGAGCTTCCAGCTTGTAGACGTGGAGCTTACAGCTTGTAGACGTGGAGCTTCCAGCTTGTAGACGTGGAGCTTCCAGCTTGTAGACGTGGAGCTTCCAGCTTGTAGACGTGGAGCTTCCAGCTTGTAGACGTGGAGCTTCCAGCTTGTAGACGTGGAGCTTCCAGCTTGTAGACATGGAGCTGCCAGCTTGTAGACGTGGAGCTTACAGCTTGATGACACGACTATTGATGATGATACTACTACTACTGATGATGATGCTGCTACTCCAGGTGAACTTCGTCAGTTGCCACCACGCGGTGTCTCCGCCTGGAGACGCTGATGAGTACTGTGCCCGTGCGAGGGTCATCGCTGACTTCCTGCGGCGGAAGGCAGGGGAGTGGTCTCCGCTGTCCTGTGTGTCCGTCCCTCCACGACACAGCGCCGTGGGTGAGTGGGTGGGTGAGTGGCTGGGTGAGAGAGAGAGATGTTTGTGTGTGTGTGGTGATTGCAAATCCTTTGATATCGGAGTAAGTTGCCAAACCTTGTGAGTTGATGGGTGAGTGAGTGGGTGGGTGGATGTCTATGTATCTGTATGTATCTAAATTAGTCTCTATGTATCTTTATGAGTCTCTATGTGTCTCTGTATCTCTTTGCAGAGTATCTGTGTGTCTCTGTGGGTCTCTGTGTATCTCTATGTAGGGTCGCTATGTATCTCAACCAGCCTCCATGTGTGTCAATGAGTCTCTATGTATCTCTGTAAATCTCTGTGTGAGTAGTTTATGGGTCTCTGAGTAGTCAATGAGTTTTCTGTGTGAGTAGTCTATGGGTCTCTATGAGTGTATTCATCGGACGACTAAAGTTATTAAACTGAGTAAAGTTATATTCTTGGTTCTTTCGGTAAAGTCACGTTGAAGGGAAACAATAAAATAATAAAATATATATAAAACAATAACATTATCACGACGTTTCGACTGTAACACAAACAGTCATCATCAGGTGTGAAAACCAACGGCAAAAAACATTTGAAAGAAGTGGCGGTTTGTATTTATTTATTTTTAAACGTTAACACCACGGACAGCGATTTGTCAGTTTGTTTATAAGGACGAGTCCATCTATGTTCGGAAAAGAGGAGGGGGAGACGAAAAATTAATGTATGCTGTCTGAAAGCCACCGTAAACGTGAACAATCAATTAAGACCCGAAATGGTTTATCAAATCCTTCCAATGATTGCTAAGCCAGAATCCATCTTCTCGGTTGAAATTGTCTCTGTGTTTGTATATGTGGATAGCCTCATGAACGAATCTCTCGTGGTAGCCCGATGGCTTGCAAAGAACCTCTGTCTTGGAGAAGTCAATGTCATGTGAGCCTACTGAATTATAACAGTGATCTGCCACGGCCGAGGTGTTGGTCTTACCGTGTTTAAGGTCTGCTTTGTGTTCACGAATGCGGTCCGAGACATGTCGTTTGGTTTCTCCAATGTAACTACTACCACAGAGGCAACTTGGTTTGTAGACACCAGGGTACTGTATGTCCAGAATCACATCTTTTACAGACGAAACCAGATCACGGATGTTATGTAATGTGTTGAAACTGACCTGGATCTTGTGTTTATTCAAGATTTGGAGATCTTTTTTGTGATCCCCGCAATGTAGGGTAAAGTAATGGTTTTGAAAGGCTCCTCAAGAGGGTCATTCTTCATGGTTTGAGTGATAGCTTTGCGGATTGTATAGTCGGAGTAACCATTAGCCTTAAGAGCTTGGTGTACGTGCTTGAGTTCACTGCCTATGTGTTCCTGGTCGGATATGCATTGGGCTCTATGGTGCAGAGTCTTGATGAGATAATTCTTCTGTGATGGATGGTGGTGGGAATCCGGTTTCAGATATGCATCCGTATAGGTAGCTTTCCTATAGACAGAGTGGCTCATTGAACCATCAGGTCTCTTTTTTATTAAGACATCCAAAAAAGGTAGCTTGCCATCTTTTTCGACTTCCATGGTAAATCTGATGGCTGGGTATATGGAATTGATGTGGTCGAAGGATTGGTCTAGAGCAGGCCGGCCATGTGGCCAGATGACAAAAGTGTCATCCACGTACCTCTTCCATAAGGTTGGGCCGAGAGTGGCAGTCTGGATGTCGTCAGTCTCAAATTTCTCCTTGAAAATGTTGGCTATAACTGGAGATAGGGGGGAGCCCATTGGGGTTCCCTCAGTTTGTAGAAAGTTCCATTCCAAGTGAAGTATGTATTGGTTAAGCAGTGTCTCACCAGGGGGGGTACCTCAATGTTTAGTCCTTGATGAACCAAGTCTTCAATGATTGCGATGGTGTTAGGTACAGGAACTTTGGTGAATAAGGAAACTACATCAAAACTGACAAGCAGGTCGTCTGGGGACAGGGAAATACCCTTGATTGTCGATACCAGTGAGTAGAATTTTGTACCGCAGAGGTGGTTTTTCCAGTGAAAGGACGCAGGATTTCAGACAGAAAACGAGCCAGTTTGTAGGTGGGGGAGTTGATAGAGATGATGGGACGGAGGGGTGTATCTACTTTATGCATTTTTGGTAAGCCGTATAATCTTGGTGGCCTGGCAGCAGAAGGTTTCAACAAAAACTGTTTAGATTGATCAATTAATGCGGTTGAATCAGAAATAATTTTGTTGGTTTGTGTGACGAGGCTGTTGGTGGGATCTCTTTTTATTTTTGTATAGCTGCCATCGTCGAGTAATTCTTTCATTTTGTTGTTATATTCTATTTTATCCATGATGACAGTAGCATTGCCCTTGTCAGCTGAGAGGATTACAATGTCATCCCTCTTTTTTAATTTGTATAATTCAAAACGCTCATCTTTGCTGAGGTTGCTAGCTGGCATCTTAGCGTTTTTGAGGGTTGCAGCGATTTCAGATCTTGCTACGTCTGCAGCGATGTGACCCAGGCCCTTGAGAACAACGTCTACTTGGGCAATGATATCAGTAACTGGTATGTGTTTAGGGGTGACTGCAAAGTTTAGACCTTTAGCTAAAACGGATTTCAGACCATCGGAAATAGAACTGTTACTACGATTAATTACGACTTTGTTAACGTCTAACTTTTTGGTGTGTGGGTCCGGTCTTTTGTTGGAGAGGAGGTTAAATTTGGAAATCAGGTTGTCCTTACATTTGGTTGACATAGTAGCAGCTGAAGAGGCAGTCATATTGTCTACATGTTCCCAATCTGATGTGGACATTGTTGCCGTCAATGATAAGTGTGATTTGTAGAGTGTCTTGTCTAACTGATCTAGTTCGGTGCGTATAAGTCAGATTTTCTCTGAGATAAGAGCTAAGCTAGTTTTGAAAAGAATTCGTTTCGCATTAGAAGAAGTTACATCAGCAGAGGTCAGTGTAAATGCGATTGGTATTACCCCAGAGTCGCGACATCTCTTCAGAAAGGTGAGAGACTCGATCAGCTGAGCCTTCTTATCCCGGAGTTTGTTGAAGGATCTTAAAGTTATGTGGAAACCCTCCCCGTAGAGGTGGTTAAATTTTGATTTAAAGCTTTCGTGACTGCAATAATTCATATTCTTGGTTCTTTCGGTAAAGTCACGTTGAAGGGAAACAATAAAATAATAAAATATATAAAACAATGAAATTATCACGACGTTTCGACTGTAACACAAACAGTCATCATCAGGTGTGAAAACCAACGGCAAGAAACATTCGAAAGAAGTGGCGGTTTGTATTTATTTTTAAACGTTAGCACCACGGACAGAGATTTGTCAGTTTGTTTATAAGGACGAGTCCATCTATGTTCGGAAAAGAGCAGGGGGGAGACGAAAAATTAATGTATGCTGTCTGAAAGCCACCGTAAGCGTGAACAATCAATTAAGACCCAAAATGGTTTATCAAATCCTTCCAATGATTGCTAAGCCAGAATCAATCTTCTCGGTTGAAATTGTCTCTGTGTTTGTATATATGGATAACCTCATGCACGAATCTCTCGTGGTAGCCCGATGGCTTGCAAAGAACCTCTGTCTTGGAGAAGTCAATGTCATGTGAGCCTACTGAATTATAACAGTGATCTGCCACGGCCGAGGTGTTGGTCCTACCGTGTTTAAGGTCTGCTTTGTGTTCACGAATGCGGTCCGAGACATGTCGTTTAGTTTCTCCAATGTAACTTCTACCACAGAGGCAACTTAGTTTGTAGACACCAGGGTACTGTATGTCCGGAATCACATCTTTCACAGACGGAACCAGATCACGGATTTTATGTAATGTGTTGAAACGGACCTGGATCTTGTGTTTATTCAGGATTTGGAGATCTTTTTTGTGATCCCCGCAATGTAGGGTAAAGTAATGGTTTTGAAAGGCTCCTCGAGAGGGTCATTCTTCATGGTTTGAGTGATAGCTTTGCGGATTGTATAGTCGGAGTAACCATTAGCTTTAAGAGCTTGGTGTACGTGCTTGAGTTCACTGCCTATGTGTTCCTGATCAGATATGCATTGGGCTCTATGGTGCAGAGTCTTAATGAGAATTCTTCTGTGATGGATGGTGGTGGGAATCCGGTTTCAGATAAGCATCCGTATGGGTAGCTTTGTGTGAGTAGTCTATTGGTCTCTGTGAGTAGTCTATGGGTCTCCGTGTGAGTATTCTGTGGGTCTCTCTGTGAGTAGTCTATGGGTCTGTGTGTGAGTAGTCTATGGGTCTTTGTGTTTGTAGTCTGTAGGTCTCTCTGTGAGTAGTCTGTGGGTATCTGTCAGTAGTCTATGGGTCTCTGTGTGAGTAGTCTATGGGTCTCCGTGTGAGTAGTCTGTGGGTCTCTTTGTGAGTAGTCTATGGGTCTCTGTGTGAGAAGTCTATGGGTCTCTGTGTGAGTAGCCTATGGGTGTCTGTGTGAGTAGTCTATGAGTCTCTGTGTCAGTAGTGTGTGGGTCTCTGTGTGAGTAGTGTGTGGTTCTCTGTGTGAGTAATTTGTGGGTCTCTATGAGTAGTCTATGGGTCTCTGTGTGGGTAGTCTATAGCTCTCTATGAGTAGTCTATGGGTCTCTAGTAGCCTATGGGTATCTATGAGTAGCCTATGGGTGTCTGTGTGAGTAGTCTATGGGTCTCTGTGTGAATAGTGTGTGGGTCTCTGTGTGAGTCGTGTGTGGTTCTCTGTGTAAGTAATCTGTGGGTCTCTATGAGTAGTCTATGGCTCTCTATGAGTAGTCTATGAGTCTCTGTGTGGGTAGTCTATGGCTCTCTATGAGTAGTCTATGGCTCTCTATGAGTAGTCTATGGCTCTCTATGAGTGGTGTATGGGTCTCTGTGTGGTCTCCCTGCCCAGGCCCTCCCGTGGGTGTCGTGACGGAGGGCCAGGCCTTGGCAGCCATCGGCCAGAAGGTGGCGCTGCTTCACTGCCACCTGCGGGTTGCGGCCGCGGTGACGCTGACGCAGGTGAACTGGCTGAAGGTCACCGTCGGTGATGACGGCCGGAAGAGGGCCAGCTTGGCGGTGCTCAATCCACGACACGGCACGGCATACCCAAACTCTCCCCTCATGGGCCGTGTGCGCTTCCGCGCCGGGGGGCGCGGAAGTGCACGCGGCGACTTCTCGCTGGAGCTGCTGGACGTGCAGCACGGCGACGGGGGCCTCTTCCTCTGCCACGTGGCCACCTTCCCCACCGGCAACTTCGAGGGAAGCGTCAACCTCTCCGTCGTCGGTGAGAATCGGCGCTCTCCGTTGTCTTTCTTCGCCGGCACTGTGGCCACAACTTTGCCACAACTTTTTTCGTCGGACGAATAAAGTTGTGGCAAAGTTGTTGCGGTCGTTGTTGTTGTGGTCATTGTGCCACACAGAGAAGCCGACGGTGGCATCGGCGTCAGCGGCGTTTACGGCCGGCCTGGTCTGCCGGGCCCCCCGGGCCGGTCAGGCCGGCAGGTCCTGCTGGGCCACTGTCGTCGCCGTGGGCCTCGCCCTCGCGGCCGCACTGCTCTACCGCCGCCGGCTCCAAGCGGCCGCGTGAGTCGCCCACCTCGTCACCTTCCCCGCCACCTCACCCCCTCGCTGAGCCTCTCACCTTTAACCACCGCGGAAGTGCACCACCCCCTCCCGCTGCCCGCTTCCCCGCTCGTCCCGATGTCGCTGGAATGTCACTCGAACGTCAGCGGCGCCCCTCGCGGGCTTCCTCGTGCGACGAATTACCGCTGTGCATCCCGCCCACCCCCCCCCCCCCCCCCCCGGCGCGTGTGCAGGGAAGAGCCCCGCGCCTCCCGCAAGCCACCACCAGGCGGCAAGGAGGACGACCGTGGCCACGTGAGTGGGGGGAGGGGGGCGCGCGGGATCGGAGCACGTGGGATCGGAGCCAGCGGGATCGGAGCAAGCGGGATCGGAGCAAGCGGAATCAGAGCAAGCAGGATCGGAGCACTCGCCGCTCGTGTGTGTTGTCTTGATTTAAAGCTTTCGTGACTGCAGTAATTCATATTCTTGGCTCTTTCGGTAAAGTCATGTTGAAGGGAAACAATTAAATAAAATATATATAAAACAATAAAAATTCTCACGACGTTTCGACCATAACACAAACGGTCGTCATCAGGTGTGAAAAAAAAACCAACGGCAAGAAACATTTGAAAGAAGTGTCGGTTTGCATTAATTTCATAATAAAGGTTTTTGGGTTAGATCGCGTTATATATAAATGTGTCGTAACCCTCCACCACCCGACACGGCCAATCAGCATGGAAATGGAGGTGAATAACACACTCCCATTCCTAGATATTTTGCTTGGACATGGCCTAAACGGTAAAATAACACACAGCATTTACAGAAAGCAAACGCACACTGATGCCTATCTGAATACAGAGTCACATCATCATCCAGCTCAGAAATCCTCTCTTATCAAGACGCTCATACATCGGGCTAAAACAGTGTCAGATGGTGAGAGTCTAGTGAGAGAGATTAAACACGTTAAAGATGCACTACGACAGAATGGCTACAGTAATGCTCAAATTAACAGAGCACTGAATGCCAAATCACGATCGCAAAGCAATACTGCTGAAAGCGACCAGATTGTTAAAACAATAAAAAATCTATATATCTCAGGAGTAACTGACAAATTAGCCCGTGTTTTGCAAAAGCAAAACATTACAGTAAGATTTGGTACAGTACACAAAATTCAAAAACTAGTATCTTGCACTAAAGACGCATTACCTAAATTATCAACAGAAGGTGTATATCGGATTAATTGTTTATGTGGCGGCTGCTACATTGGACAGACGGGACGTAATATCAGCGTAAGACTAAAAGAACATCAGAGAAATATTAAATTATCTCAAACACAACTGTCGGCAGTGGCAGAACATGCTTGTCAACAAGGACACTCAATTGATTTTGACAATGTTGCAGTGTTGTGTAAAACTAATTATTACTGGCAAAGACTAATTAGAGAATCCATTGAAATTGAGAGGAATAAGAATAACTTTAATCGCTCTGACAGCTACAGGCTTAGTGCGGGCTGGAAGCGTATTATTAAATAATACACATTACATTTTGATTTAAAGCTTTCGTGACTGCAGTGATTCATGTTCTTGGTTCTTTCGGTGGAGTCGCGTTGGGGGGGAAGCAATAAAATAAAAGAATATCTATGTTTATTGTTTCCCTTCGGCGTGGCTTTGCCGAGGAAGCTAGGAATATGAATGCACATTACAATTCCTTATAGGGGAAACACATACTAATTAACGGATTACTAACATAGCATATAATCACTAACACATTACAACTAATTACTAATCTACAACTCATTACTAATCATAACCAATGACTGATTACTAATCGATTATATAATTACAATACCCCCCCCCCCGCCTCTAATCACTTCACCTGATATGAGTTAAGTGATGACGTCACCCTGCTGCTCTATATAAAACCGGGAGCAAGCGAGGGCTTTACCATTCTGGCGAATTGCCCGATGATGCTGGATGTATTTACCAGCGAAACGTCGTACTCAAACTGTAAATGTGGATTCACACTTCAACACACCGGTGGGCTAAAATAGTGAATTATTTGTCTTTTGTCAACGTGACACTTTTTTTGCTGATTGGCCGTGTCGGGTGGTGGAGGGTTACGACACATTTATAAATAACGCAATCTAACCCAAAAACCTTTATTATGAATAATATTGGTCGCGAAAGCCTACGTGTTAAATTGCATTAATTAATTTATTTTTAAATGGTGTATTTATAAAAAACGTCAACGCCACGCACAGCGATTTGGCAGTTTATTTAGAAGGACTAGTCCATCTATGTTCTGAAAAGAGGAGGGGGGAGACGAAAAATTAATGTATGCTGTCTGGAAGCCACCGTAAGCGTGAACAATCAATTAAGACCTGAAATGGTTTATCAAATCCTTCCAATGATTGCTAAGCCAGAATCCATCTTCTCGGTTGAAATTGTCTCTGTGCTTGTATATGTGGATAGCCTCATGAACGAATCTCTCATGGTAGCCAGATGGCTTACAAAGAACCTCTGTCTTGGAAAAGTCAATGTCATGTGAGCCTACTGAATTATAACAATGATCTGCCACGGCCGAGGTGTTGGTCCTACCATGTTTAAGGTCTGCTTTGTGTTCACGAATGCGGTCTGAGACATGGTGTTTGGTTTCTCCAATGTAACTAAGTTGCCTCTGTGGTAGTAGTTAGGTCTTAATTGATTGTTCACGCTTACGGTGGCTTCCAGACAGCATACATTAATTTTTCGTCTCCCCCCTCCTCTTTTCAGAACATAGATGGACTTGTCCTTCTAAATAAACTGCCAAATCGCTGCACGTGGCGCTGACGTGTTTTATAAATAAATAAACCGTTAAAAATAAATAAATTAATGCGGACCGGCACTTCTTTCAAATGTTTCTTGCCGTTGGTTTTTCACACCTGATGATGACAGTTTGTGTTATGGTCGAAACGTCGTGAGAATTTTTATTATATATATTTTATTATTTTATTGTTTCCCTTCAATGTGACTTTACCGAAAGAGCTAAGAATATATATAACATTTAATCTTTAGCCATCCTTGTTAATAAAATAATCACTGACGCGTTTATGTTTTATAAAATGTATTTGATGTTCGTGAACTTGTAACTCTTGAATTTTTGTAAATATTTTAACATCAATTAAAACATGAATAGTGAGTCCAACTGAGTGGCAGATGTTGTCTTTAGGAGCAACACTTTTATTAAACTATTAACACAACATACCCCAGGCGAGGTGTCCACCCGACTAACAACGCTACGGCGAACCACACCTATGGGTTTGCGATCCCGTTCCGTACCACAAGCTGGGTCCCATACCGCTTGGCTGGAGGCTTCTTTAGCTTGACGTGGATCTCCTGCCTCTCCAACAGTAAGAACCCCGAGCTCCTCTCAGGGGAACCCCCTTATATTGGGCAGGGCTGGGGCTGCCTCCGCCTCTCTCTCGCCCTTACCCGAAGGCTCTCGAAAGCTCTTCCCGGACCATGTGACCACCCACTGGCCCCCTCTACTGGTGGCCCCCCTCCAGTATCATCCGGTCACGTGTCCCCAAGTCAGCCAGAGTATCACGACCGATCGTAACCCTGGCTGACTCTCGCTCCCTCAACGGGAGCCCGCACCGCACGCCATGCGTGGTGTCCCCACGCTTAACCAGCGCTCGCCCAAGCCCCCACCAGGGCTGGTACTACACCCCGTATCCGTGGTGTCCACAACAACAATGTAACATCTGCCGTGGCCTCGCAGGCCCGGCATGACAGCGATATTCTCAGTCACTACACAGGTAACATTCATGGTGTGAGACGTATTCCCTAAGGATTTTTAAGACGGGGAGATATTTATATGGGGGGGGGGGGGGGGGGGCAATCGTGACGCTAGCACGTTGATGTTAGAGGTTTGATATATATTTCTGTGTACACTTATTTGTTAATGGTTTAATAATAATTAAATTGTTATTGGCAATTTGCAGTGTTAATATTGTTAAACTCACCTTTTGCCCGTCCAAGGACAGGTGTATTGCAGTAAATCTGAAACATTCAAGCGAAAGGCAGATCGCGGCGTCTTATTAATTGCATCAATTCGTGTGCAATTTGTGAGGCCGCAGGTGACACAGACCTGTTTCACTGTCAAGGTTATAATCCCTTGTTTATCGTGACGACCTTTTTACTTTGATGTCTCAACAACAGCATTACGGAGATCGCGTGACGTGATGAGGGTTCTGCCTTTGTAGTGAGGGTTGTAAGTTGACGCTGAGGAGGGATGAGGCGTCTCCCCCCCCCCCCCCATGTGGAGTGACGTCACCTGCTCGTGACTTTACCTATCCACGTGATTTTAACGAGAGACCCAACAATGTCGTCGATGCCGTCGTCACCAAAGTTTTAAGTCGACATTTATCGTCGGTATGTTTGGCTGCCACAATTGAGGCCTATATGCTTATTGGTTGCTTACAGTTCGGGATCAACTTTCATCTTAAGGCCTCGATCTGCTCGGTAATGTATCGTCACATTCCCGAACACAGCACGAGGTTGAGTTTCCTTACTGGGCCAACTAATCGCTCGGATGTGGACAAAGCAGTCGCAGGTGGTGACTATGACGAAGTCGCGTGATTTTCGAGAGCATTTCAATTGCAAGATTGATCTCCGTTATGTGTGTGTGGGACCCGGGTTTATGTTTGAGTCTCTAAGGCAGGGGTGGGGAACGTTCGGCCCGTGGGCCGTATGAGGCCCGCGAAATTATTTGGGTCTGGCCCTGCCAAGGCAACCGCAGGCTGGACTCGAAATTAAATACATCTAGGAGCAAACCTGGAAAAGCAGTTGCGAGTAGCAGCAACATCAATACCAGCTAACATCATCACACGCCTCACCAAAGAGAAGCAGTTCCAGCCATCGCATTAGGGGCAAGTTAATAAAATGTTTGACCAAATATAACGGGCAATTTTTTAAGTGGATGATTTTCTATGGCCCGCAAATAATGTTATATAAATATCCAAATGGCCCTCGGCAGAAAAAAGGTTCCCCACCCCTGCTCTAAGGCTTCCAGTGATTTCTTTTCAACCGACATTGCTTCAAGGAAGGCAAGAGGGCAGCTTTACAAGAGGCACTTAGCATAACAAGCTGCAACAATAACCTGCTATACCAGCTGGGTTGTGATGAGTGTTGTCATGGTGTCATTGTGCATGGTACGATACCAGTTCTCGCTATTAGGTACGACGATTGTCGCGATATATGAACGTTCCGTCAAGGGAGACTATCAGAAACCACAGACTCAGTATTCATATCCGTTATTAACGTTTTAATGTTCGGTTTTGCACGACTGCAACAGACGTCAAAAAAACTTTACCATCAAAATATACGAAATGTATAAACACTTGAACACTTGGTAGTAGTAGGAAGCTTTTGCGACCAATTTTATCCATGAGGGGGTTTTTTTGGGGGGGTTAGATCACTTAAATATGTCGTTAAACCCGCCACCACCCGACAGCCAATGAGGAAGGTTT